TATGTATGTGTGTATACTTACTTATTTATATATGTATATAGATTCTAGTGGATATGTAGTAGTATCTCATTCTGGTTCTAATTTTCTCTTTCTTAATGATAGTCCTTTTTAAAGATACAATTAATAATGATTTGTCAGTTGATTTTCTTGCATATTTTAAAATGAATGTAGTTTTCATCCTTTGTGTGATTAATGTTGTATATAACATGAATTGATTTCCTGGCATAAAACCAGCTTTGTATTCATGTAATTAATACCACCACTTCATTGTGAGGCATAATTATTTTTATGTATTATTGATATTTTGTAAGATGCTTGTGTCCATATTAAGACCTGTTTTTAGTATAGCTGAAGACTTGCCAGTTTTATATCTTTTCAAAGAACTGAGTTTAGTTAAAGGTGCAGTTCAAGTGGTAGAGGGCCCTGAGTTCAAATCCCAGTATTACCAAAAATGAAAGAACCAACTTAGTGTTGCAATAATTTTAAATAAAAATTTCTGTAGTCTGTTAACCTGTGTTACAATCTTTACTATTTTCTTTCTTCAGCTTGCTGTAAGCTGTTCACTATTTTCCTTTTTTTTTTTTTTTTTTTCTGGTCAGTTGTGGGGCCTGAACTCTGGGCCTAGGAGCTGTCCCTCAGCTCATTTATTTATTTATTTATTTATTTTTGTCAGTCGTGGGGCTTGAACTCAGACTGAGCACTGTCCCTCAGCTCTTCAGCTCAAGCCGAGTGCTCTACCACTTGAGCTACAGTGCCACTTCCGGTTTTCTGGTGGTTTATTGGAGATAGGAGTCTCACAGTCTTTCTTGCCTGGGCTGGCTTTGAACCGCGATCCTCAGATCTCAGCCTCCTGAGTAGCTAGGATTACAGGTGTGAGTCTTGAGCGCCTGGCTCCCTCAGCTCTTTAACTCAAGGCTAGCGCTCTACCACTTGAGCCACAGCACCATTTCTGGCTTTTTCTGCTTATGTGGTGCTGAGGAATCAAACCCAGGGCCTCAGCATGTAAGGCAAGCACTCTATCACTGAGTCACCTTCCCAGCCCTCTTTTCCTAATTTTTTTTTCTTTTTGGTCAGTTGTGGGGCTTGACCTCTGGGCCTGGGTGCTATCCCTGAGCTCTTTAGATTAAGGCTAGCACTCTACCACTTGAGCCACAGTGCCACTTCCTGTTTTCTGAGTGGTTTATTGGAGATAAGAGTCTCACTGACTTTCCTGCCCAAGCTGGCTTTGAACCATGATTCTCAGATCTTAGCCTCCTGAGTAGCTAAGATTACAGGCGTGAGACACTGGCAACCGGCTCTTTTCCTAATTTTTAAAATGTTATTATTAAACATTACTGAGACGATCTCTGCTTTCTGATATAGATTTAAAAATTAGAAATTTTCTAGCCATTATTTTAGGCAAAATCCTTAAATTTGATTTGTTATATTATTTTTATTCAGTTTCAAATGTTTCATTTCCTATTTGATTTCTTGTGGGTTATTTAGAAGTATGTTATTTAGTCTTAAGTATTTGGGAATTTCCTTGAGTTCTGTTGTTGATTTATATTTCATTCAGATGTGATTTGAGAATATGCTTTGTATGATTCTTAAAAGAGAAGACAGAGATTTGTTTTATAACCTGGCACATATCCTTGGGAATGGCCCATATGCATATGGAACAGATGTATATTTTACAGTTAGTCTTTTTAAGTTGAATTGTTTGATGATGTTGATCCTTGATGATTTTCTGTCTAGTTTTTAATCAGTTATTAAATGAATATAGATAACTTTAACCATTATTTTTAAGTGATCTTTACTTTTGTCAATTTATTCTTGAATTTTGGGTTCTGTTGTATGTGTGTGTGTATTTATCATTGTTATACCTTCCTTACGCACTTCTTTATCATTGTGAAATGCATGCTTGTGTCAGTATTGTGTAATATTAATATAGCTATTCATATTCTCTTATAGTTACTGTCTGAATGACATATTCTTGTTACATATTTTTATTTATTTTATTTTTTGCTGGACTTGGGAGCTTAAACTCAGGGACTTGGCTCTATTCCTGAGCTTCTTTTGCTCAAGGCTAGTGCTCTACTACTTGAGCCACAGCACCACTTCTTTTTCAGATAAAAGTCACATCTTTTATCTGTGTGGTTTACTGGAGAAAAGAGTCTCACGAACTTTCCTTCCCTGGTTGGCTTTGAACTGTGATCCTCCGATCTCAGCTTCCTGTGTAGCTAGGATTACCAGTTGATCCACTATTGCCTGGCCATCTTTTTATTTTTATTGTACTAAAAATTTTGGTTTTAAATTATGTCTTTTAACAGTTGGATCTTTGTTGTTGTTGTTGTTGTGCTGGTCCTAGGGCTTGAACTCAGGGCTTAGGCATTGACCGTGAGATCTCTTCCCTGGCCCCCTTCCCTCCCCCCACACCCCCAAGGCTAGCCCCCAAGGCTAGCACTCTTATCACTTGAGCCACAGATCCATTTCTGCCCTTTTGGTGATTTATTGGAGATAAAAGTCTCAACATCTTCCCTGCCAGGGCTGGCTTCAAACCTCCTCCTTCAAAGTTCAGCCTCCTGAGTAACTAGGATTGTAGGGGTGAGCTATTAGTAGATCTTGGATTTTTTGTTTGCTTGTTTGTTTTTAAACATTGTTACTCTATATTTTGGTTGAAGTGTTTAGACCATTGACATTTCGTATAATTCTTGATATTATTGGCTTTACCATGCCATCTGGCTGTTCTGTTAAAGTTTTGCTACTGACGTTCCTCTCATCCTTTTTTGGGTCTTTTTGTGTTAGCTAGGTATTTTTAGTGTTTTATTTTAATCCCTTTCAATATTTCAGCCATTTATTTTAGAAGTTGCTAGAAGGATTATAATATGCATTTGAATTTAGCAAAATTTATTTCAGATTGTTATTAATTCCAATAAAATACTGAATCTTTTTTATGTTTTTGGTTGGTCATGGAGCTTGAACTCAGGGCCTGAACCCTAAGCTTTTTCAGTCAAGGCTAGTGCTCTCCTACTTTGAGACACAGTTCCAGTTTTCTGGTGGTTAATTGGAAGTAAGAGTCTCATGGACTTTGGTGCCCAGGCTCACTTTCAACTGTGATCCTCGGATCTCAGCCTCCTGAGTAGCTAGGATTACAAGCGTGAGCTACCAGCACCCAGCAAAATATCAAATCTTTATTCTAATGAAGGCTTACTTCCTTTTTCTTCCTGTTTGCTATTACTCTCATGTATGCTCTATGTATGTGTTGTAAGTCCACTAAAGTAATGATGGCTTTAATGTAATTTTGTCTTTTAAGATAATTAAAAGAGAAACATATCTGTAGAATATTTTTTGTGAACTGACATATGTACTATTTCAGGTGCTCTATTTTCCCCTGATTATTCAATGTCATTGTCTCTTAGCTAAAAAGTGATCTTTTATGCATTTAGTATTGAACTCATTCTTTGCTTATGTAGGAATATGCTTATTAGCCTTCATTCTGAGAAGAGAGCTTTGTGGGATACAGTAGTCTTCTCTTTTGCTTTAGTATTTTGTTCTTGTTTCTTGTGGCATCTCTGCTACAAATTGTACTGTTTTTTCTTTAAATAGTGTGATGTGTTGTTATCTTGTTGCTGTCAGGATTTACCCTTTTGTTTTATATTCAGCAGTTTGATACGGTGTATCTATGTATTTATCCTGCTTGAGATTTATTTATCCTGTTGAGCTCAAGAGGTTCAACAAGTTTATGTGGAGATTTATAGTTTTCATCAAGTTTGGGAGGTTTCAGTTGTTTCTTTAGATCTTTCACTCTTTTGTCTCTTTGCTTTCCTTCTAGGATTCATAAGCAAAGTTGATACTCTTGTTCAACTCTCTATTAATTTTTTTCCTTATATTTTTTTCACCTATTCTTCTTGATCTTTATCTCAGGTATATCTTTATCTCAGATAAAGCCTGTTTTCAGTTTTGCTGGTTCTTTTATTTGTGAGTGCAAATCTGCTATTGTACCTCCCTCATTAATTTTTCATTCCATCATACTTTTCAAGTCAAAACCTTTATTCAGTTTCTTTAAAAATATCATATCTCTTTTTTGATATTTTCTCTTTGGCAGAACATTATGATTTCCCTTTTATTCAGTACACAAGGTTACCTTCAGTTCTTTGAACGTATTTATTTAGCTGACTGAAAGTTTTTGCATAATAAGTCAAACACCTGGGCTTTTGTAGGGATAATGGTTACTGATTTTTGTGGGGGACTACCGTTCACTGCTTCTTCTTTTGCCTTATAATTATCTATTTTATTTATTTATTTATATGTACATACATACAAACATATATACATACAGGTCTTGGGGCTTGAATTCAGGGCCTGGGCACTTCTGTTCCTAAGTGTTTTGTGCTCAAAGCTAATGTTCTGCCACTTGAGCCACAGCTTCACTTTTGGTCTTTTGGTGATTAATTGGAAATAATAGTCTCACAGACTTTCCTGCCTGGGTTAGCTTTGAACTACTACCCTCAGATCTCAGCCTCCTAACTAACAAGGATTACAGGCATGTGATACCAGTGCCTGGTTTAATTTTTTGTTGTTAAAACATGATTCTATAGCTTTCTTCCTTTTTATTATTATTGTGATGTATATTTATGATGATTTTATTTTGCTAGTCTCCTGGCTTTCATAACTTCAGTGGTTGAGGCTGCTGTTTTCCAAAACTATAAAAGATTTGGGAAGGAGTGGGAATTGGGGTTAGAGGAAGTTACGCATTTAAAAAGCTCACCATTCTTGCCAAGATTAAAGTGTTTTTCTTGAATAAATGCTAACAGGATTGTTACAAGTCTTTGGTTAAGTTCTACATTTCTGAAAAGAATTGCTTTGACAGTTTTTTTCATTGCTTTTTGGAGATGAGCATTTTCAGCAGTCCCTTTTCCACCAGTCCAAAACTGCATCTCATTGTAGCATGCTTTTAGCTATTATGCCTATTGTCTCCTTACTTGATATCTAACCAATGTTTTATATTAACTTGTTGGCAGCCATGAAAGTCCACTCTTTGATTTCATCGAGAGCTGCTTGCGAAATAAACATGAAATGGTGGTTTATGAAGCTGCCTCTGCTATCATCCATCTTCCTAACTGTACTGCCAGAGAGCTGGCACCTGCTGTCTCAGGTTAGTTCGACCAGGTGGCTGCCTTTGTTGATATTTTTAAGTTTATATCTCAATAGAGCTGCAGAATAGAGTAATTTTTAGAGTTGTTTTTTTAAACCATAGTTCTATATTTATAATTTTTGTAATCTGATAGTTTATGTGTAAGTTTTTTGCATTGTTTTCTTTTACGAAGGATTTGTTTCCCTACATAAATCTTTTGAAATAACTATACTTAGAGGAAAAGTAATATTTAGTGTTTTTAGTTTTTTAATGTTCAGAGAGCCCATTTGCTTTCAACCATTAGTATTTCTATCATTTACATTCAAATATTAATGGATATATTAATATGTACAAAAGGAAACTTTTATTAAAGTTTTAAATAGTTGAATAAAAAGAGATTTTTCTATTTTTGATTCATTTTCATATGAGTTTTGATTCTGTGAAGTGAATGATTTATTATGGCTCATATGTTCAGCTATGTGATAGATAATGAAATGAACAGTATTCATAGTGATCTTGTTGCTGTTTTAGTTCTTCAACTTTTCTGCAGCTCTCCTAAGCCAGCTTTGAGATATGCAGCTGTCAGGACCTTAAACAAGGTAGGTGTCCTTTTGGTAACCACAAACTTATATCAGTGTTTGAGAACCTTAAATGTGATTTTTTTGGCTTTTCTTCAAGCTTATCATGCATGATTTATGGACTTCTATTAAACCTCATTTTTATTTTTTGCCTTAGGTATGCCATTTTTACTATTAGTAGAAAATTGTAATTCTGACTTGGAAGTACTTTGTGTTCAAGAGTTACCTTGTTGGGCCTGGGAAGGTGACTCAGTGGTAGAGTGCTTGCCTCGCATGACAGAGGCCCTGGGTTCAATTCCTCAGCACCACATAAGCAAAAAGAAAAAAGTCAGAAGTGGCGCTGTGGCTCAAGTGGTAGAGCGCTAGCCTTGAGCTGAAGAGCTGAGGGACAGCGCCCAGGCCCAGAGTTCAGGACCCACGACCGGACCCAAAAAAAAAAAAAAGAATTACCCTGTTAATTATCATGGTAGCCATTCACCACAAATGGCTACTTAAATTCAAATAATTAAAATTAAATAACTTCATCCTTAGTCATTGTGATCATACTTCCTGTACACCTAAGCCACATGTGGTTAGTGGTTATCATTGGACAGTGCAGATATCTATTCCTTCTATCATTTATAATTGTATAGCCAGGTATCTCAGAATGCACATGTTTGTGAATTTGGGGAAAGATAATTTGGTGTTATCTCTTTCATATTACTTCCACTGGTCCTGGGCAGCCTTTCACCTTAAAGACAAACTGATATTTCTACACAAAACCTATGGCCACCCTTGCAAAGTAGGATAAGTAGACTTACTTTTTCATTAGTTTGCATTTAATGAGGATGCTTTACAAAGTTGTGAGTTATAGATTCTATAAATAACAGACGAGAAACAGGTTCTCCTAGTGACCATGATATTCCAGTGTGACTACAGCTGACTTGTTTAATTACAAGTGTTTTCTAAGTCTCTCTTGAGACTTAGCTCTTGTTCTTAGAGGTGCTAACATCTAACAGAGCAGACACACATGGACATATGCCCTATAAGGAAGTATCGGCCATATATACATATATATGCCATATATAATAAAAGGCTAATATTATTATAAAGGTAATAAGAACCTAACAAGAGAGATCTGGGCTTGCTATATGGTGGCAGTTGTTCATTTACCAAAGGATCTATTATATCTGATGAATCTTATTATGAATTAAAAACATTCTTCCTAAAACAATTACCTTCTTTTAAATTTTATCAATACTTTAGTGTTTGAGTCCTGTGTTTGTAAGGCTGGTACTCTATTTCTGAACCACATCTCCAACCTTTTTTGCACTGGCTAGTTTTAAGATTGGGTCTTACTTCCTACCCAGGCATGCACCTGGCCTATGATCCACCCACTTTCCCCCCATAAAGCTAGGATGATAGGCATGAGCCACTGCATCTAGCTATTGGTCAAGAAGAGTTCTCACACTTTTTTTCTTTTTTTGATCCTGGCTAGCCTTGAACTGCTATCCTCTATCTCAGCCTCCCAACTAGTTAGGAGAATTACAAACAAGAGTCTACCATTCTCATTTGAAATAATTGCTTTTCACCTAAACTGCCCCCTTTGTATTGCCACTTTTCTTAATTAAAACTGAGTGTTTACTTTCTTTTTCCTTGTCCTTTCACAAGGTGGCAATGAAGCATCCCTCTGCTGTTACTGCCTGCAACCTGGATTTAGAAAATTTAATCACAGACTCAAACAGAAGCATTGCTACCCTAGCCATTACTACTCTCCTTAAAACTGGAAGTGAGAGCAGTGTGGACAGGCTCATGAAGCAGATATCTTCTTTTGTGTCTGAAATCTCAGATGAGTTTAAGGTGAGAGTTTAAAGATGGTCATGATTTCTGCCCATGTGTGGTTTGTGTGTGTGTTTTTTAATAGTGTCTTTTGAGGAATAGAGGTTTCGAATTTTTATGAGGTCTTAATTTATCAATTTTCTCTTTTCATAGTTATTGTTATATGCTCTCTAAGTAACTCTTGTCCACCTCCAAGTCATAAAGGTAGCTTTTATCTTTCTCATGTTTTATTCAAAATGCTTTATGATTTTAGTTTTTACATTTTGACTCAAGTTAATGTGTGTGATATGTTCAGTGTTTTTCTATATGAATACTGATACTTCAAGGATAATTTGTTGAAAATACTTTGTCTCCCCTTCAGTATGCTGTGGCATCTTTTTATGTATAGCAAATAACCAAATGATATTTCCTACTAATGTATAAAATATATTTATTTTTCCATATTAACTTGGTATCAAGTGACCTTGCTGAGTTCTTTTATTGGTTCTAATTATTGTAATACACATTCCTTAGGTTTATCCATATAAATATTCATATCTTCTGTGAATGGAGACAGTTTTACTTTTTAAATGTCTTGCCTTTCTTTCCTTTTGCCTTATTATTGAATAGAACAGTATTGAATAGAACTGGTGAGGATGTGGTAGAAATGATCAAAGAACACTTAGTTTCAGTTAAGAAAAGGAAAATAGAAGGACTGTTGTTTGTTCTTACTTAATACTCAGCCATGTGATGGGATAGACCATATTACTCAGTGCTTAGTATACTCTTAGATGTGTGTGTGTGTGTGTGTGTGTGTGTGCACACGTGCGCGCGTGTGCACATGTGTGAGCTCGTTGTCCTGGGGCTTGAACTCTGGTTTTGTGCACTGTCCCTAAGCTTTTTGCTCAAGGGTAGTGCTTTACCACTGAGCCACAGCTCCAAGGTAAATCTTATAGACTTTCTTGTCCTGGCTGGCTTTGAACCACAATTCTCAGATCTCAGCCTGCCAAGTAGCTAGGATTATAGGGCTGAGCCACCGATGTTCAGCCACTCCTAGATTTTAGAAAACAAACTTACCTTGCATATGCAAATTAACATTTTGAATCTTTGGGAAACCTTGAGGGTTTATGAAGTTGTTTTAATAGCCATTTGTCAAACAAAATGGTATAGTAAAGAAAGTAGGTAAAATAACTTAGGTAAAAGGAGGTTTTAGAACAACAACTGGCAAACCTTTCTTTAAAAAGGACTTTAAAATACTTACTTTCAGCTTCTGGGCCTCTCCATTATCTGTTTCCTGTTCTTATTTTGTGTGGGGGGGGGAGAAAGGTTGTTTGTTTGTCTGTGTAGTATGCATGGGGGTCTCATTCTTGCCCTACACTGGAACACCTTTTTAATTATTATTTTTATTATTTTTATTATTTTTTCTTTTTTCCCCCCAGGTACAATCTTCTGTTTTGCTTGAGTACTTTGAGACTGTATGTGAGCCTCCTAATTATGCTTTTCTTGTAGCAGGGGTAACAGGTACTTACTACCATAGCCAGCCTTTTTATTGAGATAGGGCCCTCACTAACCTTTTTGCCTAGGCTAGCCTCAAAATGTGATCTTATCATCTCTGCCTCCCAAGTAGATGGGATTATAAACATGAGCCATGATTCTAGACCTGTTTTTGTTATTTTCTTTACAACTCTTTAAAAAGTTAAAACCATCTATGGTTTATACCATCTCTGGTACAAAAGATAGAATGCAAGCTCAGCATAGAGTAGTTCATGCTTGTAATCCCAGCGCTCAGGAGTCTAAGGCAGGAGGATCATAAGTTTGAGGCCAGCCTAGCTATCAAGTTCCAGGACAGACTGGCTTCAAAGCAAGACCTAATCTTAGAGGAAAGAAAAGGTGGAGAGAAAAGAAGAAGACAGACAAGACTGGACGGACTATAGTTTATTAGCTTCAGTGTCAGAAAATTTAAAACTTTAGAAAAGTAACATACACAAAGAAATTGTTGGTAAGCATATGGGTAGTGGAATTCTTTATATATACTCCTGTGTAAACTTCTTTTGAAAACAATCCAAGAATATCTAGTAAAATTGAAGATGTATACTCTTTCTTCTTCTTCTTTTTCTTCTTCTTCTTTTTTTTTTTGTGAGAGAGTTTTTCTGTGTAGCCTAGGCTAGCCTCAAACTCAAATTCTTCTGCCTCAGCCTCCTGAGTGCTGAGATTGAGTGTGTGCTACCATGCCCCAGTGATGATGTATAATATATAAAAAAAAATTTACTTTGGGAGTCATAGGATCACTTCAGGCATGGAATTAACATACATTAATTTTTTATAAATGTATTGAGTAATTTGCAGAGGTCTATACAATATGATAGCATTTGCATAAATACTTAAAAAAAAACAAGCAAAATAAACTATGTACATTAATTGGGGATATATTAGGTAAGTTGAAGAAAAGCCAGGAAATAGGGAAAGCTGTTCAGTAGAGTGATAGTCTCTGGGAAGGAAGCAATGGAATGTGATCAGAAGGGGCAGAGGGGAACATTTGGAAATTCTAGATAATAGAACTTCTGTTTTAAAAATCTGTACTGTAACTGATTATATATTATAAAAACAAAGTACACAAAGTACATTTGTTTTTTTCTATTGTTAAATATGTAATTTATACTACATATGTTTGTAATATATATTTGCAATAGATTTGTGAAACATGTCATAAAAAGAGTTGCAAAAAGTATAAAGCCATTTCAGACTGTTAGGCCAGACTCTGTAATTGGTAATGTTTCTTCCTATATCACTAATTTGCCTGTGCTTTTAACTTTTAAAAATAAGTCCTGTTATGTTGTAAGATGCTAAGTACTATTAAATGTCATCTGTGATCTTTTTTATATTTTTTAATTCTTGATTTCTTTGTATATAGTATGCTATTGTATATAAAGAAATTGATCACAAACCAATATAAATACCATTATTTTCACTGGAGATGCTCTATTTAGACTCCTACTGTGTTTTCCAAAAGTATTTCCCCATTATTTAGTGCCTTCTAAAAGGAGCCTTTTAGGAAGGAAATAAGGAAATGGAATAGATACGGTTGGAAAACAAGCTTCAGAAATGATTCATTTAAAGGTTTGAGCTATGTAAAATTTCAAAACTTGTCAGTGTAAATCTAATAATCATATGTAGATACTAACTGCTCTGGCTCTTCCAGTTGTTGGCAAGAATCTCTGTTATTCATATTTGCTCCTTTTTTCTTTTTTGTCCACTGGGGAACTGGGGAAAATACAGCATTAAAAGATGACTGGTCTACCTAATGTCACATAATAAATTACCAACACAGCCAAGACCAAAAGCTAGATTTTCTAATTTCTCAGATTTTGTTATGTCTTCCATCTTACCTACTTGTCACCTAATATTTCAATACTTATATCCTTTCTTGTAGAAGGTTTATTTAAGACTTTGGTTCCTTGTTTTGTTTATTTCTTCTTAATTTTTTGTCTTTTCCAATATATTTGGATTTAGGTATTGATTGTATTAAGATAAAAAGTGAGTTGAAAACATGAAAGTTCTTTAACTGGGTATCTATATGGAAAATTAAGGTAAATTGTAACCCTTATCTCTGGAGATGAGTGGCAGCTTTTTGGTCTCACAAAAGAAAGAAATCAGTGGCAAATGCAGCGTTTAAAAAAGCAAGTTTTATTGAAGTAAGAGCAAGAATATACTTCAGAGGAAATTGAGATTGGGCTACTGGACCAAGCAGTGGAGTGCTACAACCTCCTGGACCTTAGTTATTTTTTATCATCTGTGGGAGACTAGATATATTGAGTTTATGTACATAATTGTGGAGCTTTTCCAGGAACTGGAGTACAGGGAGTGGTTTGACCTAGTAAAGTATCCTCACAGCCAAGATGGTGACTGAAGGAAGGTTTGTGCATCATAGGTACAGTGAGAGGCACATAAGGCCTCTGGATAATTGGCACAGTGGGGAAAATACCTTCTGGTGACCATTAGATGGAATTTCTAGAAGTAGGTCACACTTCCCACAACGTTTGTTTGTGAAGCAGGTTGTTCAGCAAAGTATACCTAGATGTGGTGTCATGGTGGTTCTTTGGCTCCATTTGCTTTATTGTTCCCTTTCTGCCTACTCATCCAATCTCACCCTACCTCACACCACACATACAAATCCAGTGCCAAGTTGATTGAGATATGAGTGTACAAGCAAAATAATAATGTTTTAGAAGAGAATGCAGGATATCTTCATGACCCTGGAGTAAGAAAAATATTTTTAACAGAAGACAAAAAGAAATTTTGATGAACTAGACCTTACTAAAAGCCATAAAAGAAATGCAAACAAAAACTACTTTGAGCTTCTACCTCACCCCAGTTAGAATGGATATAATCAACAAAACTAATAATAACAGCTGCTGGTAAGGATATGCCCCAGAAAAGAATGCTACTACACTGTTGGTAAGAATGTAAACTTCTTCAACCACTCTGGAAAGCAGTATAAACCTTACTAAAGAATTTCCATTTACTTTCTATTCCAAAAATCCCTAGCTTTACCCCCACTCAGCATAAAATAGTAAGACAGAAGTTACCTCCCAACCCAGAAAAATGGAATGAAGAATTGACAGCTAGAATGTAATAATGTAGGCAGAAACAGTATTTATACTGTATGAAAGTATACAAAAATGTCCACATCCTAGCACTCAGGGGCAGATGCAAGAGGATTGTGAGTTTCAACCAGGCTGTGCTACATAGACCAGCCTCAAGGAACCAAAAAGGAAGGGAGAGTAGTAGGGAGGGGGGCGGGGGGCTGTCACTTAGAGAATGACCTCTAGAATGAAAACCCTTGGGTTTAAATCTTGAGTCTATCACTTACTAGATATGTGACCCAAGATAGTCATGTGACCTCTGGCTGTTTTTGGTTTCTTTAGTCATACCTTGGCGATTGTGATAGTACTTACCTCAAAAGTCTTAATGAACTAATAAAGAACTTATTTCAATGTGAGTTATTATTTTTTTATGTGTGTAGTATGGAAAACACTGAAAGTCTAACCTAATCTCTTGAAATCTGTAGGTTGAATATTAACTGAGCTGTTTGGAATTTCTTCTTTTTTTTCAGTGCACTTATATAGATCTTTTACAGAAACAGATCCATATGTTGCTTTATTTTATTATTTTCCCATTTCCATTTTAATGATTTAAGTTTAAAATGTAGACCATTAAGCCAGGTGTCGGTGCCTTACGCTTGTAATCCTAGCCACTCAGGAGGCTGAGATCTGAGGATTGCAGTTCAAAGCCAGCCGGGCAGGAAAGTCCATGAGACTCTTACCTCCAATAAAACACTAGAAAACCGGAAGTGGCGCTGTGGCTCAAGTGGTAGAGCACTCACTTTGAGCTAAAGAGCTGAGGGACAGTGCCCAAGCCCAGAGTTTAAGCCCCATGACGCCCCCCCCCCAAAAAAAACAACCAGAAACAAAAAACAAACAAAAAGAGAAAATGTAGACCATTTTAATGCCTTCAATAGTCACAACTACTCACAACAGCATATCTCTGCTCCCCATGCCTCACCTGTGAAGATACGATATTTTCTCTGTGTGTGTGTGTGTGTGTGTGTGTGTGTGTGTGTGTGTGTATTAGCTTTAGTTATCATTGCTTCTTAAAAAGATTATGGATTATGGACATTTTCTATCTTCTGAAAGTATTGTATTGTACAAAATGCTATCTGGTTTGAGGAAGACATTTCCCTATGGGTGTGTGCTTCTGTACATCATGCAAGTTAGGCACTAATTACCCTTTTTTCCTACTCTGCCCCTTGTGTAGTACAAGATGCCATACAGCCTTAGAAGCTTCAGTCTTCCTCTAGAGGTCATGTTTCCTTACTGCCCTAGAAAAACAGAATCCTCCCTCTGGTGTAGAACACACATATGCTTACTAGTTAGTCTGGTAATGTTTTCCTTTGGAACAAAGGGTTGGCAGGCTTACTGCCCAATATTAAATAGTCATGTGCCATTCCTTAGTGTTCTTTCTTATCCTGTAATGCAACCGTTTGTGGATCCAGGTATTTTCTGGCTCTCTGGAATGGTCTTAGATTTGGGCTGAGGAAACTAGCCTCCAAATGCTGATTGCTGTTGTTGCTGTATTATACTGTCAGCCATTTCTTACCTAAGATTCTTATTTTCTACTAGCACCCATGCAACTGTGATAGATTAATATATTAACTGAAAAGAGGATAAAATCTTATGCTTTTCTTAACACTTGTTTTTAAATTTATATTAACATTCCTCTAGCAAACATTTTTGTGAAGTAGTTTTTGGATAGGTTTCTTTATTTCCTCTGTTGGAGTCAGTGTATTCAAGCTCTTTATCTGTCCAGCTTTAAGAATTTACATGTGCTTATTATCTTGGAGAGGGGCAAATGGATGGGATCTATTGAATAAATATAATTTTCCATTGTTTTTCAGTGGAAATCCTTTTTTTGGGGGGGCTCCTTGCTGATCTTTTATAAAGAAGCATTATTGTGATTTTAGGTAATTGTAGTGCCTTCTTGGCTTGGAGGAACTCACAGGGGAAGCACATCTCCTAGCTAAGGTTCTGAAGATGTACTTCCTCTCTGTGTTTTACTAGGTGAGGGTCATACAGTCATTGTGTGGTAAATGATCTCTTCATTTTTCTGCAGGTGGTGGTTGTGCAGGCAATCAGTGCTCTCTGTCAGAAATACCCTCGTAAGCACAGTGTCATGATGACTTTTCTATCCAACATGCTTCGAGATGATGTAGGTAGACTGTTTTCTAACCATAATAAATTGCAGTCATAATTCTCATGATTGCCATAGTGTTTTGAGCATGTCTTCTTCATCATTATGTGCTTGAATGTGGTTGCTGTTTTATCATTACTAAACTTGTTTGTTTTAACACTTTGCAGAAATTTGTTGTTTATTTTAAATGAAAAGAGAGGAATAGAAATTTGAATATCACAAGCATTATTTCAAACAGTGTACTTAGAATAAGTGGTGGTTTTATCTTCTCATTTTCCAGGGAGGCTTTGAATATAAGCGAGCCATTGTGGACTGCATAATCAGCATTGTGGAGGAGAATCCTGAGAGTAAAGAAGCAGGTCTAGCCCACCTTTGTGAATTCATTGAGGACTGTGAACACACTGTTCTGGCTACTAAGATTCTACACTTGTTGGGCAAAGAGGGACCCAGAACACCTGTCCCCTCCAAATATATCCGCTTCATTTTCAATAGGGTTGTCCTGGAAAATGAGGCGGTCAGAGCCGGTAAGTCGTTGAACTAGTAATGATGAAATTGCTGGTCTTTTGAAATACTTAAGAGGGTCATAATGAACTTGAACAGTGAAGTTTCAAGACTGATATGTTAATGGGATTGAGCCTATCCTGGGCCCCAACCAGATTTTTGCCTTGTATTACAGACAGCTTGCAGTATAACAGGAATATTATCATTGCTGCTCCATTTTTTCCCCCAGGGTTACAGCCATAAGCATTCATGTATGTTGAATTTATATGGATGTGTTTGTGTTTTCTGTGTATTCCTCTCCAATCCTTCCTTCCCCTTAACATATGAACAGGTACATATCTCTCCCATTGAAAATGTGACCCCCTCCTGTAATTCTTTATCTCTCATTAACTCCCAACCCTATCTGACTGAGAAAAACTTAGCTGCTCTCATGAACTCTTGTCCAGTCATTTCACAATACAATTTAGCCCTCTCCCTTGAAACTCCTCTGAAGGTTTGTTTTTAAATACTTTTAAAATAGCTGAAGAAATTAAGTTAGATTCTTTAATATTCTTAGGTTTGTTCACCTTGGTATTTGGTTTACCTCTGACCTCTCTCCTTTTTTTTCCCTCCCTCTCCAACACGGATCCTATACCTGGTACCGTAATACATCACACTGTCTGATCTCAACACAGGGCATTTGTACTGGTCATTCTCTCTGCCTCTAAGGTTCTTTTCCTGTCTTTTCTCTTTGGCCAATGTAAGTTGGTCTTAACATTTAGTTCCAGTTAGTGTTGAACTTCTAGGTTACTTTTCTACTTGCAGTTCTGCTTTGTCTCCCTGTCTGAACTTACCTAGCATCTTGGATAGTTCTGTAAGCAACTTACTTGTTACTTTGTAATTATTTCTTTAATTACCTATCTTTCCTACTGCAGTGTAATTTCTTAGGATCAGAGACCCTACTTTTTAATTTTCCTGCTCCCAGAACCTACCACAATTACTGATAGACATTAGGAAAGCCAGTGAGTCTATTGAATGAAAGGAATATTAACAATGGAGTTTCTTTTTATGTTTGAGGCTAGTTGTTTGAGATTAGAACTAATCATGTGAGATAATATATAAGGGGTTGTGTTGAGTAGAAGCATAAGTCACGTAGAAAATATTCACATAGAAAAATATTCCTCAGCACATGGATGATATTTACTATGTAGAGCTCTCTAGAGGTGGAAGAATTTTATTTATACTTAAATGGGTCAAAGAAGTAGGACCAAGGAAACAAGATATTTCATCTCCATTGAGCACCAGCTACTTGGCTAATTTATTGTCATTATAGAGGTGATATACAGAGGGGTTACATTTATATGCGTTAGTTAATAAGTACATTTCCTTTCATTCAGTGTCATCTGTTCCATCATTCTCTCACATTTCCTTCCTCCCATCTTCACCCACCAGTTATATAGTTCACTGTCATCAATGTCCAGTGTCCTTCACTGCTGTACTTTTTCACTCTTTTTCCTCAGATTCTGTTCCCTCCCACCCTCCCACAGAAAGAATGCAGAATCATGAGCAAAAGAAAAAAACAAATTAATAAAAAGTCCTTTGTTTCCATATCTTTGGAGTCCATTTTAGTATGAATATTATTTTATATACATATGAAGAAGTGCTTGGTTATTCTATCTTTGTGATTCTCTCCTAAGACTATACCCTCTGTTAGTCTCACTGTATGTGAGTATCTAGAATCCTGTGTAATTTGTCATATCCCAGTGCATTTTGGATCTAACTTCCACAGATCAGAGAGAACATGTATACTTGTCTAATTTTTTAAATAACTATTGTTTAACTGTGATACACTGATATTTATGTTGCTTCATTTTCTGTGATATAATAGCTGCTGTAAGTGCGTTGGCTAAATTTGGGGCACAGAATGAAAGTCTTCTCCCAAGCATTCTTGTACTCTTACAAAGGTAAGCAAAAGAATGCCCTTTAAAATTAGAATTCTACCTGACTAAGTAGTGAAATCCTCATTGTGTCATACCAGACATTGAGCTGATAGAGTAGAATAATAGTAGCTATAGGGTAGATAGCTTTTGTTTTCTTTCTAGTAATTAGGTATGAGTGAGATATGTGTAAAATTGGAGTTGAGATTTTTCTTAAATTGTTTTGAGAAAGTAATCTAAATGTATGTACTTCAACTTCTATAAGGAGATGCTAACTTCTAAAATCTAAAGTGATTCATTCATATGAAGAGTTGAAAATATAAGCTTTTTATGGCCTCTGTAACTGTTTAGTAAGGGAAACACTAGCTTTAGCAAACACTCTGATTGCATTTTAAAATTGAAGCAGAATAAACCACAAGCCAAGGCTGGCTGGCTAAATGGAACAAATTGCCATTTGAACAATAATGATGCCTAGATGATGAATGCTGTCTTTTTAGTATTCTTATAAAGTATAATATTAATATGTCTTAATTATGAGGCGTCTTTTCACTGGAGATCATGTGGTTACAGATACAGCCAGACACTCCAAACTATTTCATGTTATTGTGTTCTTATTTATCTTGATGCTTTCTGTAGCTTCTGATTTATAAAAGCAGTAGTGGTTTAGTAATTCAGAACAGTTCCCCAATATTTGTGGGGATTTCCAGAGCCTATATTGGCTATTGCTGAGATTTTTTTTAATGCCGGTCTTGAACTCGGGGCCTGGGCACTGTCCCTGATCTTTTTTTTTTTTTTTTTTTTTTTTTTAATGTCGGTCATGGGATTTGAACTCTGGGCCTAGACACTGTCCCTCAGCTCTTCAGCTCAAGGCTAGCGCTCTACCACTTGATCCACAGCACCACTTCCGGCTTTTTCTGCTTATTTGGTGCTAAGGAATCAAACCCAGGGTTTCATGCATGCAAGGCAAGCACTCTACCACTGAGCCACCTTCCCAGCCCCTTTCACTAATCTTTTATGCTCAAGTCTAGCATTCTACTACTTGAGCCACAGCTCCACTTCCAGCTTTTTGGTGGTCCATATGTTTCATGGACTTTCCTGCCTGGGCTGACTTCAAACCATGATCCTTAGAGTTCAGCCTTCTGAGTAGCTAGGATTACAGCTACCTTTTTATAAAGGTACTATCAATCTGGACACTGGTGGCTCACATCTGTAATCCTAGCTACATAGGAGGCTGAGATATGAGGATCTTGGTTCAAAGCCAGCCCAGGCAGAAAAGTCTGTGAGATCTTAATCTCCAATAAACTACCAAAAAACTGGAAGTGGTGCTGTGGCTCAAGTGGTAGAGCACTAGGGACAGCTGAGGGAAGCTGAGGGACAGCACCCAGGCCCAAAGTTCAAGCCCCACAACCAAATAAATAAACAAACAAACAAATAAATAAATGTACTATCAGATTACCTGAATTGTGTACTATATGTATGGTAATAAAACTATTGGAATCTTAAGGGTACCGAAACATGCCTGTTCTGTTTCCCATGGCCAGGTGTATGATGGATACTGATGATGAAGTGCGGGACCGAGCTACCTTCTACCTGAATGTGCTGCAGCAGAGGCAGATGGCACTGAATGCTACCTATATCTTCAATGGTCAGTGAGAGCTGAGAACACATACAAATATAATTGTGTGCCCCAAATGGGATCTTGGAAGTATATTTTGTGATTTTACCTATTAGCTGACCACTAGGCAAATGCTTGGTTTGTCCATGAATGTATCTCCATTTCTAAGGAAACCTGTTTTCACAAGGATATTTTCTAATTTGGTAATAGGAATTCCTGTGAAACAATCTGCAAGGTTGTTCTCACTGCTCTCCTAGAGCTAAGGTGATTTCTTTTCTGAGAGGTAGATATATTTTGTTGAATTTATTTATGCTCTCCTTCTATTTATGCTTTCCTTCTTATATAATCACTTTTATTTAAATTACTGAAGTTTTAGGATTATAGAGTGATTATTTCTCTTCCTTCAGCAAGCAATTACTAATAGTTCTCAAGATATTATAATGCTGAAATTTGTCTGCAATTACAGGTCTGACAGTCTCTGTACCAGGGATGGAAAAGGCCTTACATCAGTATACATTAGAGCCTTCAGAAAAACCCTTTGACCTAAAATCAATTCCTCTTGCTATGGCTCCTGTCTTTGAGCAGAAAGCAGGTAAGAGGAACAATAAACTCTTAGTTTTTCTGTGTATAGATAGCTTTACAAATTTGATATTAGCATATGTTCTAAGCTAGAAAATAAAACTAGAAAATATTAGCTTGACTTCACAATTATTTGGTAGTCCCAGTATAGTTCTATCAATTTTTACTGAAGGGAACATCAAAACGTTATTGATAAAAATAAAGACTTTCTTCAAGGGAAAAAAAAAAGAAAATATTAGCTTGTTTTTTCTAATACTTTCTAGGAAATTTTTCTCTAATACATTTTGCCTATCATGCCTACATCTTTTAAGCATAAGATAGATGACTTTTTGTGTGTGTGTGTAGAAATACCATACAGAGGGGGTTACAATTACATGGGCAAGATAATGAGGACATTTCTTATCAAGCATTGTTGCCTCCTCCTTTTTTTCCCCTTCCCATCTCCCTCCCCCCTCCCAGCCAAAGTTGTAAAGTTCATTTTTCAACATAACGACTTGTATGTACATCTCATTGTTGCAATGGGTCCACCTGTATCCCTATTTAAATGATTTGTTTTTGCCCTTCCCGTCCACACATTATACCAACATCAAATACAATGAAAACAGGACCATACCATGGAGGAGGGACATACAAAGCAACAAAGAAATTAGATGAGTTTTTAAAAATTAGGTTTTTAAAAATCTTTTGACATTTTGTTAACAGTAAGAATATGAAATGTGTCTAAAGATGAAAGTTTTGCTTTTGGTTTGTTTTTTTTGTTTGTTTGTTTTGTTGGTCATGGGGCCTGAACTCTGGGCCTGAGCACTGTCCCTCAGCAATTCTGCTCAAGGCTAGCGCCCTACCACTTGAGCCAAAGCGCCACTTCTAGCTTTTTCTGCTTATGTGGTGCTGAGGAATCGAACCCAGGGCCTCATGAATGCAAGGCAAGCACTCTACCACTGAGCCACCTTCCCAGCCCCTGGTTTGGTTTTTAATAATGGGGTATTAAAGCATTTGAGGTTTGTTGCCACTGTTTATAATTCTATTACTAATTATTTTTATTTCTGAATTTGGTCATCTCTTTAGTTTTTCTGCTGGAGGTTTGTCTTGAAAGAATATTACACAGGATTATAAAAAATATTTCCAGAGCGTAAAAAATATTTCCAGAGCCCGGTGCCAGTGGCTCACGTCTGTAATCCTAGCTACTCAGGAGGCTGAGATCTGAGGATCGCAGTTCAAAGCCAGCCCGGTCAGGAAAGTCTATGAAACTCTTATCTCCAATAAACCACCGGAAAACCGGAAGTGGCGTTGTAGCTCAAGTGGTAGAGCACTTGCCTTGAACTGAAGAGCTGAGGGACAGCACTCAGGCCCAGAGTTCAAGCCCTACGTCCGACTAAAAAAATAAAATATAAATAAATATTTTCAAAGAATCATAAAACAGTAAAAAAAGAAGGAAAAGAAAGGAAGAAAGTACTTATTAGTTAGATCATAGAAGAACTGGGAATGAAAAACCTTACCTTTAATTTTCAATATCTCAAAAGTTGTTTGGTGATACCACATAATGATGTTTGTTTTATAAATTATTTCTACTTTTATGAGTAACTTTTTATACACCCCAGTCTTAAAGCAAATTTTCTGTTTTAAGGGCTTTATTATTTTACAGCACTATGGTCACTAAATGTACTTTGAGTGCCACTCTGCTCCAAAAAGAGGTGACAGAAACTGTATTGGTAGATTTTGGCAATAGCTCATTGGATAGCTGCTAGAAGTTTCAACCCCATTTCTTTCTGGCTACATTGTTAGCTGTAGAGGGGAAGCTCACTTAATTTCTCATATCTCCTTAATAGAAATTACCCTTGTGGCTCCTAAGCCAGAGAAGTTGGCTCCTTCCAGACAAGATATTTTCCAAGGTATGATGCTTTATTGGATAGAAATAATGATCTTTAATTCCAGAGTGTTGTAGACAAAACAGAGTTTGTGGTTTTTGTTCAGTTTGATTAATTTTCAGTTTAAGAAATCTTTGTGTAGCTAAAGATCATAAGTTATAGTTGCTGGGGCTACCTGGAGTCCATGGAACTTAGCAATTTCTAATTACTAGCTTACTAACTGGGAGGAATTCTAAAAAATTAGGAAATCAAGTTTTTTTCCTTAGCAATTTAGCATATAAACTTGCTAGCTTAAAAGATTACTGACATTGGACACCTATGGTTCATACACATAATCCTAGCTACTCAGGAGACTTAGGACTGCTGTTTGAAGCCAGCCCAGGCAGAAAAGTTTGTGAGACTCTTATTTCCAATAAAATACTACTTAGAAAAAGCTGGAAGTGCTGCTGTGGCTCAAGTGGGAAAGTGCTAATCTTGAGCAAGAAGAGGTTCAGGGACAGCACTGCCAGGCCCCGAGTTTGAGGCCCAGGACTGCCCCCCCCCAAAAAAAAATTAAAACTTAAGGGCATGTTATTTGAGGATTCCGCTATTAGTAAGGCTGTGGAGACTAATACATTTTAGTGAAGTTTCTCTTCTATCTTCTTCATGTTTTACTTCTTCCTACTTTCCTCTCTTTTTTTCCTTGTTAGAACAACTGGCTGCCATTCCTGAGTTTATGAATCTTGGACCCTTGTTCAAGTCTTCTGAGCCTGTTCAACTTACAGAAGCAGAGACAGAATATTTTGTTCGATGTATTAAACATATGTTTACTGATCACATTGTATTCCAGGTGAGATAATACCTTTGATTCTTTTAGACCCTGAAGTATAAATTTATATGCTTGGAGACAAGCATCTCTTTCTTTAGCTAATGATTCTAGCTCCTTTTATAAAGAACTGACTTAGAGCTAGAGGTGTGGCAGAAGTGGTAGAGTGCTTGTGGAGCAAGCTTGAGGCCTCAAGTTCAAACCCTAGTACCACCACCACCACCACTACCACCACCACAATAATAATAAACAATTTTAGTTTTCTTTCCCATAACTGTAGAGATCCTTTCATATGATAGATAATATTCGATGGTTAAAATTTAAAAGTTAGTCAGGCACCAGTGATTCATACTTGTAATTCCAGCTACTCAGCCTTCTGAGTATCTAAGTATACCTGTCATCCCAGATATGCAAGAAACATAAAAGAATTTTTTTGTATAAAAATTTTTTGTATAAAAGAATATGAAACTAGATAATGTAAAGTATAATTAAAAAAAAAGAAGCATTTAACAATGTAAATTAAGTGGATTGTTCAAAGAACTTTAGCTATTGTACTTCTAACATCTTGTTTGGTAGAGTTCAAGACTCAACAAAGAGCAAACACTAATGAGTAATATAAATACAAAGAACTCAAGAATAAGACTATCCCTATCACTGTTACACACACAAAATCTTAGGTTGGAAGATTGGGGTTGGGAGTGTGGGTCAGTGGTTTAGTGTGCACTTAGCATGATTGGCTCTGGGTCTGATCCCAGAAAAAAGAAAAAAATCTTATGCTTATAGTGCTATTTAGAGAGAGATGGTATTGTGGATTCCAGAATGGAATTATGGATTATGAGTAGGAAGGAATAGTTTCTCCAGAACATTCCTCATCCTTCACAACTTTTCCTTTGCTTTTCAGTTTGACTGTACCAATACTCTCAATGACCAACTACTAGAGAAAGTGACAGTGCAGATGGAACCATCAGATTCCTATGAAGTCCTGTGTTGTATCCCAGCCCCCAGCCTGACTTACAATCAACCAGGAATATGTTACACTCTTGTTCGATTGCCTGAAGAGGATCCTACAGCAGGTACTGGTCCACAGAAGGCAAAAGAAATTTTTGTCATTAAAAATGCTCTGCTTTCGACTCTTAGAATGCTGGACAAATGATTAGAATTCAAGAAATAGTTCTGTTTGTTCAGAATTTAATGTAGCTGAGTGCTGGTGGCTCATGCCTGTAATCCTAGCTACTTAGGAGGCTGAAATCTGAGGATCACGGTTCAAAGCCAGCCTGGGCAGGAAAGTCCATGAGACTTATCTCCAGTAAACCACTAGAAAACTGGAAGTGGCGCTATGGCTCAAGTGGTAGAGTGGTAGGCTTGAGCTCAAGAGCTGAGGGACAGTGCCCAGGTCCAGAGTTCAAGCCCCACACCTAACCAAAAAACAAAAACAACAACAATAACAAAACAGAATTTAATGTAGTGATGATTGGTGGTATGTGTGTGTATGTATGTATGCATGTGTTTATAAAATTGGTTGCTGATGCAGAAATAATTTTAAAATTAATTCTTAGTAATATTTGCTGGCAATTTAATCCTCAAAGAGAAACAATGTATATAGTAGTAGCCCAAAAAGGGACTTAACCACTAGGAAGAGTCCATACACTTGATGCCTCTTATGAAGAATCATGATCTACTCTGATGTTTCTTTCCAGGACATGCTGCAAAACTTCCTTATTTAGGAGATAACTGACATTTTAAAATACATTGTGCAGCATAAATCTGATTAGTATCTTTATTGTAGTATGTTTTACCTTAATTAGGACTTTTAGCCAACCATTTTTTATCCATGTTTGGGAAATGCTCTGGATTTACTTAACCTGGATGGAGAGAGAGAGAGAGAGAGAGAGAGAGAGAGAGAGTGTGTGTGTGAGTGTGTGTGTCAGAGGAGAGTGGCTAAAAGAGAGCCAACTGCTAGTACCAACTAAGTACTTATATACTTGGGGATTTGAGAGAGCCTTGTGTTCTATCTCTTGTAAATATCAGATATCTGTTCTTGATTTCTTTATTCCACTGAGTTCTCTTCCCATATTCAGTTTTCATAGAAATAAGCCAGTTTTCATAGAAATAAGCACACACATCACATTGATGTTTTGAACAATTTTTTACTGCTTGTAAGTACAGGAAAAACAGAGGTCAACAGTATTAACAAATAATTGGGGCAGTTACGGAGTTATGAGAAATCATAAAAGCATTAACTAGTAAGTAGATGTCACTGGTCATCATTCATTTACATCTGGGGCTTAACCCACTTTCTTTTACAGCCCCTCTCTTAACTCCCTTCTTGATATCAATTCCTGGGGGCCCCTGCTTAATCTTATCTGTGTTGGGTGGTAGGCCAGGCTACTCAGACTCTGGCACGAGGTAGATTCAAGTTGGCACCATTGCTGAGTCTGAATCCCAGGTTGTTACCTCTAGCCATGAGTGGAACTGCATTTCTGTCTACAGCCACCCTAGATCTATAACTCCCTGGGTGGGAAGGCACTTTCCTATCTGGCCTCTGATATTTCTTCTTTGAGCTTTAGATCATTGGTCTTAAACCTTTAATTACCTCCTTATCCCTTTGTGAGGTTTTTCTAGTTCCATTTCCTTGTAGCTTTACTTCTTTACAGTTTGATAGGTCTGAAGTGTGCCCACTAGCCTAAGTAAGCTGTTTGTACTTTTCAGTAAAGCTATGTTCTGAACTAGTATGTAGGTCCAGCCTTGATGTAGCTCTGAGGCTTTTGCCATTATCCTGGGAAACTGTATTTTATTTTTCAATAGACATTTCTCCTAGCTTCAGAACTTCACTGTGGGCACCCCCCCCCTCCCCGCCAAACTCATCAAGTTCTTGTATTTTAAAGGATGCCATCACCTTACCACTTAATTATAGAAGGAAGTGAAATGTTGAACCCATTGAAAAATCCAGGCCTTCCCTATTGTAAATACTGACTTCTCTAATTTTCCAGGATCATTATGATAAATGATAACTCAGGTACCCCACACTTCAGGGAGTGAATTAACAGAATTTAATAAGTACAATTTTATAATACCAAAAGACACATATAAGAAAACAACAACAGAAAATATTTCCACCAACAGAGGAAGAATAGAAGAGGCTTTCTCACCCATCTTCACTAAGGAATATATTTGTTTCTTAAAACAAAGATCTTACAAATTATCCCAAAAGTTTCAACCTTTGGTCTGCTGGCTAGGGACTCTTGATTTATGTTTATAATTTTTGTTTTGCAATTAGAGAATTTTCTTTCTTTTTTGCTAAAGGGTTTCTATTCAGTGATAGAATGTGGTTACAAACTTTTGCGTCTTGGGGGGAAAATGAAATCTTGTCTCAAAACTTGGGCTTTTAAAATTGCATTAATAATTAATTATATTTGATCCATCATATACCTGTTTAAAAACAAGCTCCTTTCTATTCTCTAGGTTTTTTTTTTTTTAAAGTAGATGTCTCTAATTTTTAATCTATGGTCACACTAAAGTCTTTGCTGTGCAATAAAAGAAGTGAAATTTCAGGGCATAGATGGTAATAGAAGTCTTTTACCAATCATTGTTTTTTTTTAATTTCCCTTCACAAATAATCCAAATTTTACAATCTACTACAACCCTACTCTCTGTAACATGTTTCGTCTCAGAAAATGATTTTTTTCCTTAAGTAACAAGGGGGAGGAATATAGAAATTCTTGGTTATGAATCCTTTCAACTTGAAAAGAACATAATACAAAAGAAGGCTTTGTACACAGGTAAGAATAGAAAATTCTGGCCTTGTATATGTGCTGTGATCTTGAGTAAATTCTTTAATCTGTATAAGCCTGTCAGGATTGTTATAGGATGAAATGAAATAAGAAAGTACTTAGCATGGTTTTGGACACATAATTAACTGACACTATTTAATTCTGGAATTAACTGCTTTTTCCATTTATTATCTTTAAAACCAAATATTCCACAGTTCAGAAGACCCATAGCTTACGCTCTAGATTTTGCACCATCAATCATACTTTCTTTGATCAATCATTAACTTTCTCACTTCCCCCAATCTTTATTAATGCACAGAAATCTCCCCTACTGAAAAAATTTGCTTTAATTAAATTTGATAGTACCTCCTCTCAAAGCTTGGGTAATTTCTTAGAAAAGTTATTAGCAGGTCTTCACTTAATTATTCCTACATATTATCTTTTATCCTCTAAGAATTACTCAGTTACCCACAAAGTTTTGGAAAATCTTTCAAGCAAAATTCTTCCTTAACATCCATTCTCATGTGGTAACTTCCCTTCCTTTTGAGTATTTCTCACATCAATAAAAATTTCATGAATTACTCTCCACTTTGGAACTTTATAATGTCTGTACTTATTTACCTTTTTTTATTCCACTGTCTATTCAGAATCAGTTAAAACTCTAGATTGACTTTATTGTTCTACTATCAGCCTTTATGGCATCATAATTTTCATCATCTAGAGCCACTTCAATAAATGGAAATAACTAATTTTAGAAAGGGTCTGCCAGAGAAAATATACTGAGATCTTCCATAGAAAACACCCATACTAACATCATCTCCAACAATATAGGTATGGAGTTTCTTTTCTGTTTTTCATCAGGGATGCTGCCTTTTATATAACAGTTCATAATTCTTTTATAAACACTTCGACTTTGAATTTTCCTGCCTATATTTATTTGAACAGTGTTTGCAAAGCAATCTGATGGACTCAAAACTTTTCTTTGAATCTGTAGTATCCCATCCATTATTTTTTGTTCGATATGTTTTTGTTCAATAACTCTTGGCATACTGTATAAAATCTACTACTTTCATGAAGTGATATTAACCTTTAAGTTTTATTACTTTGAGTAATTTCACTCACTGGTATCCACATTAATAACACCTGATGAAACTTTGTATTTTCGGTGGTAAGCATTTACTCTGAAATTTTGCTCAAACACCATGAGCAGGATTGGCAGGACATCACTATTTAACCACTAAGTTCTCCTTAGTTTATTCAATTTAACAAAAAATTAAGTAATATAGTTACTAATTTAAGTCTGACCTTCAATTTAGTATGTGCACAGTTTGACCCATTATGAAATCTGCCAGGATTTACTTTCCTTATTTACCTTCTCATTCTGACTTCTCAGTCTGACTTTTCTGAAACTTATTGAAGTTTTTGTCATCCACTCTGTCAAGCCTCTTCTGTCCCTAGTTTCAGGAATATGATGACCTCAGCCTTCACTACTACCTTTACTTACATAATCCCATCTCTCCAGAAGGCAACATAAACATAGTATACCCACTTATATCTTCTTTTTTTATCTTAAGAAAGTAAAAAATAAACTTGCTTTATTAGTGCTGCCTAGGCCATTTACTCTATCTGCCATACAGATAGATTCCTAGTTTGAGTTTCCTCTTTTCCATATCTCATTGCTCTCTTTTCCATCTGCTTAGCTTCCAATAGACTCAACTACTCTTTACTTATCAAGTACATTCTTTGTGAAGATTGATGCTGAGGCTCTCTCTTGAGAATAACACTTCACAAATTTATCTTTATCTGAGTATTTACTCTCCTGATTCTGCCCATTTATCAAGTGATTACTGGCAACCACCAAATTCCCTACAGATAACTTCTTTATGCACATGCCTCCTATTTCCCCTTATGCCATACTTTGAATAAAGATTAAGTGGGCAAAGGTACTTACCTTATCCACACTAAATTTTATAAATATCAGTGCCAATAGCCCCAATTGCCTTCATATTGACCACTAATTTTGTGGAAAACCATGTTAAAGATCATTAAGTATATTGAACTCTTTGATGGCTTTTCCTTTTTCCTTTGAGATAGGAACTCTCTGTACGGCCTCCTTTGACCTTGAATTTAGGATTTTTCTGAATTCCCTTCCTGAGTGCTGAAATCCCAGGAATACATCACCATGCCTGGGTCATATTTGTAAATTTTATAGTTACCATATGGATTTCTAATTCTTGACCTCTAATAGTTTCTTACACTATCTTTAGTAACCCATGTCTCCCATTGTAAGTATTTTTCCCTTG